CAGGCAAATGGATGGAACTAGAAAATATCATCCTGAATGAGGTAACCCAGACTCAGAAGGACAAACATGGTATGTACTCACTCATAAGTGGATACCTGATGTAAAGCAAAGGATAACTAGACAGCAACCCACAGTTCCAGGGAGGCTAGCTAGTAAGGAGGACCCTAGGAAAGATGCATGGATCACCCAGCAATGGAGAAATGGATGAGATCTCCATGAGTGAACTGGGGATGGGTGGGTGGGGGTAATGGAAGGCAAGGGATGAGGGAATGAGAGCTTAGGGGAGTGGTAGGTTCAAGCTGGAATGGGAACAAGGTGGAAGAATACGAGATACAATGATAAATGAAGGCACCACGGGAATAGGGAGAAGCAGAGTGCTAGGGAGGTTCCTCAGAATCTACAAAGATGACACCACCAAGACTACTGGCAATGGCTGAGAGGGTGCCTAAGCTGACCTACTCTGGTAATCCGATGGCTGAATACCCTAACTGCCATCATAGAACCCTCATCCAGTGACTGATGGAAGCAAATACAAAGACCCACAGTGGGGTCCCAGGCAGAGTTCCAGGAGTCAAATCAATGAAAAAGAGGAGGGAGTCTATAAGCAAGAGATATCAAGACCATGATTGGAAAAAGTACAGAGACAACTAGCCAAACTAGTGGCAACTCATGAACTGTGGGCCAATAGCTGAGGATCCACCATGGTACTGGACTAGGCCCTCTGGATAAGCGAGACAGTTGTTTAGTTTGAACTGTTTAGGGAGCCCACAGGCAGTGGGATCAGGACCTGTCCCTAGTGCATCAGCCAGCTTTTTAGAGCCTAGTGCCTATGGTGAGACACTTTGCACAGCCTTGGTGCAGGGAGGAGGGGCTTGGACATGCCTCAACTGAATGTACCAGGTTCTGCTGACTCCCCATGGGAAACCTTGCATTGGAGGAGGTGGGAATAGGGGTGGTTTGGGGGAAAAGGTGGGGAGTGGGTGGGAGGAGGGAGAGCAGGGGAATCTGTAGTTGGTATGTAAAATGTGTAGATAATCTCTATATTAAAAAGGGGGGAACCAAGGCAAATATGAAAAGATCTTACCACCTGTATCCAACGATCATCAAAGGGACAAATATGGGTACAAGAGAATGATGGAAAGCAATGGCTTAGGGAGCACTCTGGTTTTATCGCTCTCTGTGTGCAGACTTAACTTTAGATTTAGGCACTGCCATGAGACTCCTGTGCTTCACTTTACACCTTAAGAACAATAGAGAGGCATTTGGATGGATATCTTCTAGACTTGATATTATTATTTCAATCTTTATGTTTTCAAATTGAGTAAAAAAATCCTTATTAAACAAAGCTCAGGAAGCATTTTCTATATTAAAGCATTTAATACAATGCTGTACTTGTATTGAATCCTTCTCAATGGCATTAATTTTCATGTACTATTCACTGAACACATTTTTTAAAACTGTACATTGTATATGGAGACCAGTAACTCTGTGACCAAGTCCTACCCATACCTTAATTCTCACCACAAATATTAGGCATTGTTCTTCTGTTCCACATTATTGCTTCCAATGTCATGAATGGAATCATAAAAATGTGTAATCTTGGATCCATATAGAGAGATAGCATAAGGGGATATTTGTCTGGAACTAGGTATGTTTGGTACAATATGATTATCTCCAGTTGTAAGATTATAGTACTCAAAGTTCTAGCTAGAGCAATAAGACAACAAAAGGAGGAGAAGAGGATAAAAATTGGAAAGGAAGAAGTCAAACTTTCACTATTTGAAGATAATATGATAGTATACATAAGTGACCCCAAAAAATTCTACCAGGAAACTCCCACTGCTGATAAACACCTTCAGTGATGTGGCAGAATCACAAGATTAACTCAAAAAAAATCAGTAGATATCCTATATACAAATGATAAATGGGGTTAGAAAGAAATCAGGGAAACAACAATCTTTATACAATAGCCATATATAATATAAAATATCTTGGGTTAACTCTAACCAAACAAGTAAAATCCCTGTATAATACGAACTTAAAGTCTTTGAAAAAAGAAATTGGAGACAATATCAGAAAATGGAAATACCTCCCATGCTCATGGATTGATAGGATTAACATAGTAAAAATGGAAATCTTACCAAAAGCAATCTACAGATTCAATGTAATCCCCATCAAAATCCCAACACAATTCTTCATAGACCTTAAAATGCAAACAAACACTCAACTTACAAAAAAAAAAAATCCCAGGATAGCTACAACAATCTTGTACAATAGTGGAACTTTTAGAGATATTAGCATTCCTAATTTGAAGCTCTATAGAGCTACAGTAATAAAACAGCATGGTATTGGCATAAAAACAGACAGGTGGATCAATGGGATTGAATCAAATACCATGACATAAATCCACACACCTATGAATACCTGATTTTTTTTACAAAGAAGCCATCATTATACAATAGGGGGAAAAAAAGCATCCTCAACAAATTGTTCTGGTATAACTGGATGCCAGCATGTAGAAGGTTGCAAATAGATCCATATCTATCATCCTGCACAAAACTCAAATCTATGTGGATCAAAGACCTCAATATAAATCCAGTTACACTGAACCTGATAGAACAGAAAGTGAGAAGTAGCCTTGGATGCATTGGCACAGGAGACAAGTTCCTGAATATAACACCAGTAGCACAGACACTAAGATGGACAATTAATAAATGTGACCTCATGGAAGTGAAAGGATTCTGTAAGGACACAGTCAATAAGACAAAATATCAGCCTACAGAATGGGGAAAGATCTTCACCACCCCCATAACTGACAGAGGGCAGATCTCCAAAATATATAAAGAACTCAAGAACATCAGAATACCAAATAATCCAATTGAAAAATGGGGTACTCATCTAAACAGAGAATTCTCCACAGAAAAATCTCAAATGGCCAAGATACACATAAAGAATTGTTCAACATCCTTAGCCAGCAGGGAAATGTAAATTAAATGACTCTGAGGTACCATCTTACACCTGTCAGAATGGCTAAGATCAAAAACACTGATGACAGTTTATACTGGAGAGGATGTGGAGTAAGGGGAGCACTCTTCCACTGCTGGGAGTGCAAACTTGTACAGCCATTTTAGAAATTAATATGGCAGCTTCTTAGAAAATTGGCAATCAATCTCCTTCAAGATGCAGCTAAACCAATCTTGGATGCTCAATCATACCTCAAGGACACTTGCTTAACTTTGGTCATAGCAGCATTATTTGTAATAGCTAGAACTTGGAAAAAACCTTGATGCCCCTCAACCGAAGAACGGGTAAAAAAACACATGGTACATTTACACAATGGAGTATTACTCAGCTGTAAAAATCGACATTATGAAATTTGCAGACAAATGGAAGGAACTAGAAAAAAATCATTCTGAGTGAGGTAACCCAGACCCAGAAAGACAAACATGGTATGTATTCACTCATAAGTGGAGTTCTTGTGTAAATGTAAAGGTTAAGTAACCAGGCCACATTCCACAGCCCAGCCCCAGAGAGGCTAAGTAACAAGGAATGCCCAAAGAGTCACATATGGATTTCCCTGGGAAGGGTAATTAGAAGAGATCTTCTGGGTAAACTTGGGATGGGGGTAGGGGGATGGGAACATGTGGGATTCGGTTGAGCAGGCTAGGAGCTGGACAGAGCAGGAGAGTAGTGAAAGAGATGTCTTGATGGGGGGGGCACATTTTAGGGTTAGGGAAAAAGCTGGTGTCAGGGAAAATCCCAGGATGACCCACAAGGATGACCCCAGCTAAGACTCCTAGTAATAGTTGAGAGGGTGCTTGAACTGGTCATCTCTTGTAATCATATTGGTGACTTCCCTAATTGATATCAGAGAGGCTTCATCCAG